ACACACACACACACACACACACACACACACACACACACACACACTGTCCTCTCTGCGTGTTGGCCCTGATAATCCAGTCGGGATTGCTTTCTTTGGTAGCTTCTCCTCCTCACCCGTGGGTCATTCTGGTCACACAAGGAGGAGGGGGCAAAGGGGAGCCCCACCCCCACAGCTGCCAGACCTGCCACTTCCCAGCCTGTGGGTGGTGCCCCACTAGACCCTACTCCAGGAGGAAGGGCAGCCTGGAAGCTCCTCAGCCTTGCTCTTCTAACTTGAGCCTGCATATCTTTCTCCTATGCAGAGCCTCGTCCCCCTCACCCTCCCTCCCAACCAGACAGCCCAGCCCTTGGCCTGCCCTCCCCAATAAAAAACATCCAGCTGCCACCACATCCATTCTGGCTCACAGCGACCCTACAGGGCAGGGTAGAACTGCTGCCCTGGGATTCCGAGATGGTAGCGCTCCACGGGAGCACAGAGCCTCCTCTTTCTCCCCGAGAGTGGCTGGTGGTTTCCAACCACTGACCTCACAATAGGCAGCCCGTGGCATTCTGCTCCCAGGGCGATTCACTGTCCCCATCTCGCTGTCCTTCTTTAACTTGCCCTCAGCAATGACCTGCGTCGATGGACTATGGCTTCCCTTCGATCCCAAAGAAAGCCAGGAGGCTCATGACCCGCGCACATTGCTGCACTCAGCCAGCCTGAAGGCCAGCCACCAAAGGGAATGGTTTACACGCAAATCTCTCACGGGAGATCTGACTGGCTCTGGGGTCCAATGAGTCAACAGCAGAGCTGGGATTGGACTTGCAATCACTAGATTGTCATCTGCCCCAAATCACACGGTTGAAGAAATCGTGAATATTTAGTCTAAAATGTTTCTCTAGAACCAGGAAGGGCACTTGAGCCAAAGAGAAACTTCTCTGGGCAGCCATGCGAGCCTAAAGGATGGTGGTTGGGGGAGATGATCATGGACAGGGTAGAAGACTGCGATCAGGTGACTTGACTCCCGTCGGTAGCCACCTTCCAAGAGCACTGTGTGAATGTCCTGTACTCAGGGCCAGACCCTCGGGCACTAGGTATATGGAGATGTGAAGAGCTGAGCCAGACAGGCTCCCGGGCTCTTAGATGGACAGAGCCCTGAATGCCACCCGGCTGCTGGAGAACCATTGGCAGAAGGCCCTCAGCCTCTGCTGCAATACTTCCGGGGAGGAGAGCACGCCCTGGCTGCAGGCTCATCCTTGTTTTGAGCTTTGGGGTGTCCCTCTTCTGGCCCTTCGAAACACTTTCCTTCATCATCGCTCCCCAACGATGGCCTCTGGCCCACTCATGGTCCTGCCTGGTTTCCTTGATCTTCTGAAAACACTTGCTTTGGTCAACAGCCTACAGTTTCCAGAAAGCTCCAACATTCTGGACTGGCCAAATCAGTCCCCCGTGCTCTGGGATCTGGATTTTCTTGTCTGCTTCTCTAGCGTGTGAGTGTGTGTGTTTGAGTATGAGTGTGAGTGAATGTGTGCTAGTGTGTGGGGGTGGGGAGTGTGTGAGCGTGAGTGTTGAGCTATGTCTTCCCAGGGCACCTGGTCACTGAGGGGTCCGCCCCATCCTCTGTGTGCAGCAGGGACCCAGTGAAGGCAGCCCTGGTGGAGCAGTAGTTAGCCATTGGGCTGCAAACCAGAAGGTCAGCAGTTCGAAACCACCAGCTGTTCTGCAGAAAGACAGGGCTTTCTGTTCCGCACAGAGTAGTTACAGTTTCAATCATTGCAGTTGATATAGATAGGTTAAAATGTAACATCTTATTTGATCTCCCTTTTGACCCATTTAAAAGTTGTTTCAGTTAAAAAGTAAAAGTGAAGGGGAAATACCGATCGAGTAAACCCCCAGTGAATCCCCTCTGCAGACAGACCAGGGAGGCGAATGGCCTGGCTATCGCGCAGAGGACACTGGAGAGTGGACTATGGCAGCTGGTGGTAGGTTAAAAGTAACACGTTATCATTTGACCTCCCTTTTGACCCCTTATAAAGTTGGTCTCATTTGTAACATGTTTTGCTTTCTTTTCTGATGATGTTTTTCTCGAGTTGATTTTGCTGTGGTTTTAGCTTTTCTGTTTCCTTGTTTTCAGGTGGATGGAATGCAGGAGGGGTGGATGTACAGGGACCCTAAATGGACGGAGAGCTTCATGGGGTGGGGGGGGTGGGGGAAATGGGGAGCTAATGACCAGGAGTGCAGGACGGGAGAACAGGCTCTGAAATGGATGGGCAATGGGGATTGCGCGACTCTTCGCGAAGGGATTGGACTGCTGGATTGTACGATGCATGGATTAGATCCCAATAAAACTGCTTCAAAAAAAGGAAAAGAAAAAAGAACGAAGCAAATGTTCTAAAGAAAGGCACGGTGATGACTGTAAGACTATTCTTGATGTAACTGAACTATTTAATTGCATGATGTGTGAATTATATGCCAATAAAACGGCTACAAATAGAGAATCATATGATTATATCAATAGATGGAGAAAAGGCATTTGATAAAATTGAACATCCATTCTTGATTAAAAAAAAACCTTAATAAAATAAGAGTA